CCTTTCTTCGCACTAAGTTAACTCTTTCTTTGACCGTGTCACGTTTGAATCTCTCGCAACGAGGCAGCAGATGGTCACCGTTACACCTTGGACATTTGTACTTCTTCGCTTCTATATTAAACACATGTGCGCTTCCAGTGGACGTCTCTGTCTTCTTTGAATTTGCTTCGCCGTCCACCCCGAAGGAAAGTTTGTTCCTGGGTAACTTGAACTTGGGATTCTGGTCGTTGATTATTTTGCCAAACACTGGGTGCGTCAGGGCTCTAGCCTTCTTCTCTACGAACTTAGCAAGATCTTCAAACGTAATGTCCCTCGACTGGTTGCTTGTTATGTCGTCGGCGACGTCACGCCACGATCTTCTAAGGGAAAACGGTAGCCTATTCACAACCCTTTGCAAATTGTCTGGATTCTCAAGTTTGTGCTTGTATCCAGTATCTTCTAAGGTGTTCTTGCAACTTGTAATCAGAATAGAAAACTTATGAAGTGCTGTTCCATCTTCGTCTTTGATAGGTGGTGAGTTCACAATTCGATCTATGTAAGCAGTTGCTATTCTGTAATTTTGCCCGTATCTCTGTTTAAGGAGCGATCTTGCCTTTCGGTAGCCGTCTTCTGATTTCATCGTTAAACAGCTTCGCATCAATTCCTGGACATCTCCAGACGTATATTGAATCAGGTAATGAAGCCTTGCGCCACTGTTCATCGTCTTGTCTTCAACAAGTGTCTCGAACGATCGTATAAAGTGGCAATATTCTATTGGGTCACCGCTAAAGGTCGGAACTTCAACATTCGGTAATGTCATGGATGTAGCCAGTCGATATTGTTGATTCAATAGTTGTTGCATGTATTGATCCCGATATTGCTGTGATTCAAACATCTGTTGATTTTGATTCAGCTGGAGCTGTTGTACATTTACCATCTCTCGCAGGAAGTTTTCTGCCGTCTCTGAGTCGTCAGAAGCATCATCTTTTTTGGTTTCTCCTCTTTGCTTCGCACTATGAATAGACGATTTGACTTGAGTTGATTTTTGGTCTCCCTGCACTCCAGTGTCTATTGTAAGACCATCGAACGTCGTTGGTTGTGGCTCGTCCCGAAGTAAAGTTCCAGCATACGCTCTTTCCTCTGCGTCGGCTTTTGCGATTTCTGTCTCAAGTTCTAGTTCCTTTTTCCTCTGTTGACAACGCAGTCTTTGTTCCTCTTGTCGTTGATTTAGCGCTGCTATTTCGTGCTGTATGCGAAGTTCTTCTTCTTCGAGAGCTTTGTATTTATCTAACGCGGCCGCTCGTACTGTTAACATAGCCTTTTTTGCTGCTGCTGCCGCCATTGCACTTTTCGCCGACGAGCTAACCCGGGATCGTCGAGAACTTGATACCGAGCCTTTGGCACTCCGACGTGACCGAGTTTTGGAGCAAACATTGCTTATTGAGTCGTTTGAATTGATTTCACACTCCAATGGCGACGGGTTTGGGTTTGACAAACTATGAATCCAGTCCGCTAGTGTTCGCTTAAAAGCTTCGATTCTTTGAGTTTCGTTATGAAAATATTCTTCGGAGTCTTGTAAATCATACTCGTCCATGATCGTTACATGATAATCGGTGTGAGCGAGGTAAAATTTCACTGCTACGTTCTTGAATTCTTGAGCCTTTATTCGAGCTTCGCTGGCGTCTATTACACTTGTTGTCAGTTCGGTCAATTCTTTAATCTTTTTAGTAACAACACCTTTAGCAGCTGAGCGATTTCTTCTTAATTGCTGAGACCTTTCGTATCGAATTCCTTCGTGATCAAGAGTCAGGTTTGGGTTTCGTGACCGAGCGCTTGCATCCTGGTCTACATGTTCGTCTTGACCGGTTTCGCTTTGATTTGTTGATCAAGGCATACGGACGCGTAAATAATACGATTTAATACGGTTCAACTATAAGTGAATACAAAAACAAATAAACTACCTAGTCTACAATAATTTAGTAAAATAAATAAACAAACTTACAGATAATTCCCCAACTGGGCGATCGATTGTAATATTCGAGTAGAATTGTAGATCTTGATCATTCAGGTAGAATTAAATTCGTTTCGTTTTGACTGTTTGATGTTGACTATACTGAATACTTTCAACCGTTTCTTTTATATATTCAAAATATGAATATATTAAGTAATTGCTATATGCTAATTGTTTGAGTCCTATAAGTCATTTCCCGAAGATGCATGCTCGGACCTTTCTTTAGCTAAAACCCAGGCGTGCAGCCAGTCAGTCTACACATTTTAATATAAACATCCACTACTTTATGCAGGTTCTACAGAGGTGGTAAACCCGGTCGCATGTGTGTTCTGTAATGAGGCTGTCCCAAACCAGACTGCTCTAGAAGAACACAAACTGAGCAAGCACCATGAATTAGACAAGAAGTGGTACGATTGCTCTGTCTGTGAGAAGCGTTTCACCCACCGAAGTAGCAGAGATATTCATTTACGAGTTCATACTGGTCAAAGACCTTACGAATGTGATTACTGCAAGAAACGCTTCCGAGTTTCATCGCATCTACGTGATCACGTTAGAACGCACACAGGTAAGCGTTAGTACGTATAACACACGGTTCGTGCACCTTCAAATGCTGAAAAATCCAGGACTTTTTTCTCTTGTTTTCCAGACATTTTCCAGGGGTATTTGAAATATGACAAAATTAATTTCGCCAATAAGTATTTCATTATACAGGATGTATAAAAAAACAAAGTCAATCGCTTAAAATACTATTATTCGCGAACCAATGGATCAAATTTAAGAAACAACCCAGAATAAAGTTTTCTAATCAGTCCTATTGAAACACAACGCAATACAATACTATATCAGTCTGTTGCACATAAGTATCAGGTCTGTAAAAGTTTCGTTTTCAAGGGTTTTTCTGGGGTCAGTTTGAAAATCTCGTACTTACGTATGGAGGTACACGCGTAAAAATCTCACGGCAGCTTGTCAACAAGATGCGTTCGCACTGTTTGGTTACGTATTTTATATCAGTACTTGTTCCCAGTTGTTCACAAGTCTAGAACAATTTGTTATATCTTGTAACAAGGTTGATGAGACCAACAGACTCGTCTGATAACGTCCGCACGTAAAAATTGTTAACAAGTTGATGTCAACAAGCTCATACCAACTTGTTACAAACAACCTGTGTTAGATCTTGTTGGAACAACTTGTAGCAAGTCTGTTACCGTCATAACAACTTGTTCCAGACTTGTGACACCAACTTGGAACAAGCAATGTGAACACATCTTGATATCGGCTCTACAATAACCTTGTTTGCAGAATTGTAACAACTTGCGCATCTTCACGAGTGTACCTCAATATTACAGTATGGTAATTATTTGTAGTACTATCTGCAGATCTTGAAGTGAATGTAATTCTAATGTGTTCTTTCCTAGGAGAACGGCCGTTCAAATGCGGAGTTTGTGGACGAGGATTTAAACAATCAAGCGACATGAAAAAACATCGCAAGACACACTTTAAAGAAATGCCACGGACCCCTCTAACCAACAATGAGGCGTCGTACATGATCGTAAGGCCCGAAGAGAATACGGCATCGATCGATCACAATTCGAACGATCTCCGATCACCGACAGAAAGACAGAACCTGAAATTAGTTATTAAGAGGGAACGAAAAACGACCGACAGGTCACCGATGGACAATACCACAACGACCGTATCCAGTGACAATACCCTACCCTCGGGGGATTGTACCAATAGTGCAAAAACCGTATCGGGTAACAATACCCCACCAGGAGAAAAACTCTACGAAGTTAGTACCCAGAATATGGAAGCAAATGAAAGGACATTGCCAGCAAGCGATTTGGACACCAATGCAAATTGGGCGACAAGTAGTTATTATTCCCATAGTGTACCAACAATCAAATATACAGAGAAGCTGGCTAAAAGCTCGCCAGGAAAAGTCGCCATTAAACGAAAATTAGACAAAGGGTCGAAGAGCTATGAGAGGATTAATGGTTTTAAAGCAACTACATATCCGTCAATGGCTAGTGGCTTTGCACAGATATATTCTTCAAATGTTGGTGTAAGTTTTGACCGGGAAGAATCAGGATTAATACTTTCACATAATACTGATCAAAAGGACACTGCGCAGAGTTATAGTTCGGATAATAAGACGGGGTACTCTCAGGCAGAATTTGAGAAGAGGCTATCATACGATAATCAGAACACATTCCAAATGTCAAACCAAAATGAGGAACACGGCGGAAATGATGAATTTTTTTGGCAGCCTCCAGATAAAATCATTAAATCCGAGAAACTCTCGCCAAACTCACACGAACAGTCAACGCTTTGTCGTGGGTTATCGACGGCCAATCACGAGTTCCCGACAGTTAACCACGAGCAACCAACGGGCATTCGCGACAAGCTGACGGATATTCACGACCAACGGACGAACATTCACGAGCAAGCGGTGTATAATCACGAAAACCTACCGTACAAGCACCAAGAACCCACAGGCATTCACGAGCAAGCGACGTGCACTCACGACCCAACTCCGTACAGTGACTGGCAGATGGAATCTTCCAAAGACCACACAATGAACGTTGTCAACGAGCACATGAGCAATGCCGAAGCTGCTGCGACAAGCAACGAAGAATTGACGAACAATCACGTCAACTCCAATCCCGATATGACCTCTGTAGACTCAATTGCCGAGCAACGAGCTGACGACGTCACTTACACGGAACCACAATCAATGGAAAACACTTCAACAGAAATTCCAGAAAATAATATGGAAGCTGTCGAATGGAACAGCGAGGTTGCGCCTAGCAACATGACAACTGTGCGGAAAACAATGGTAGTGAAAATACGGCGGGATAAAACTGGAGCTGTGAAAACGATACGGACACCGATCAAATTAAAAGGTATTTTTTTTGTTTTACTCTTTGGGCATTCGTCCGTAATACACCCTTTCGATAATTACGTCGCACATACTTTTTGGTCTTGGAGCCTCGCTCTCATTAGTAAATTACGCAAGGTGATTGGCTCACGATTCATGAGAGCAAGGCTGCCAGGCCAAACAACGTAATTATCGAAAGGGTGTATTGGTAAATGGCCTATTATTCAACTGAGTCTCGAATGTGCATCCAAATGATCTATTATACATATGAAACCAATTCAACTAGCCTATTCAACTGTTCAATTATCATTTGAATATGTAAGAGTTGCCAAAAAGCGCAATTGGTTTCCTCACGGTTGGCTCGTTTTAATTAGAAAATATAATCCCTTAAGTGTACCTTTCTTCGTTTTGCCTTACACAGAAGACAAAATATGCTAGTGATTAATGACATGTCGTTTTATTGTGGCCATAAGTGAAACACAAATAATGATTGAACAGAACAGTTTAAAGACATGTATATATTTAATCCCAGGTACATGTTATTCATCTGGGGCCGGTTGTTCAAAAGCCGATTAGCTTAACCCTAGGTTAACTTAAAATTCAAAGTACACTTCCTAACAGCTTGTTTTTAAATTTGGAAATATTTCTTCACAAATTATGTCTGGTTCAATAGAAGTTTTCTTTTCTGACATTTCGAAATAAATGGGCATGCAGAAATATGCAAACTAAAACAGCGGGTTAAATTTTACCCTGGGTTAGCGCTAATCGACCTTTGAACAACCGGCCCCTGCAATAGACCTTTATAAAAAGGTTGACGTCAGCAGGCTTGTGACGTAGTTTGCGGAGGAAATCCCGAAAGCTCAGAGTTGTTTACTTGTTTTGAGTTTTTTTAAAGCCAAAAAAGCCAGTATTATGGTAAGTTTGAAGTGAATCTTTCTATATATAGGCCAAATGAGTTTTCATATTCGTCTTAGTTTAAATTTTATTTTATTTTTATATATTAGATTGTACATTATTTTACTGTCAACATTTAGCAAATTGTTCGCTCGGTTTGTTTACATATATTTCGTTGCTAAAAAGTATAATTTTTCTTTTTTGTTTCTCAAATTCATCAGTCTAATCATCAGAATGGCCCCAATCAAGC